GAATGGTTACCATACCCCTTAAATGCCCTAAAACTGCCCTAGATAAGCGAAAGAACGAAAAAATGAAACAATCTCAAATCTAAATAATTATCTTGAAAAGGTTGACTAAACACATGTCCGCCGTTCCAGAAAGTTGTGAGCAGAGCTCATACGGAGTTTTGTTGATTTCTTGGTTACTATTTTTGGTGGCAGTGGACGAAAACTATTTAAACGATATGTACATAGTCGCGTTTGTTGAAATACCAGCATCGTCTTTGCTTAGTCGTCAGATATGGGACCATTTCGTCTCATTAGAAGAAAAATTTCACCATTGTAACCAAAACTTAGACTGAAGACCTGAACTTTGGAACTAGCTGAATTTGCATATTAAAGGCAAGCCCCGGGATAAAACTGGTGATAAGAGCGCTTCGTAGTGATGACTGAGCTGCGGACGGCCTGAAAGTGGAAAGGAAAGCTAGAGAAATCTTTGGGATCGCTGAAATTAAGGCCTTAACCTTCAAAAGGTCGGATGTGGAACGATGGCGAGGCAGGGCGGTCAAAGAAGACAAAACACGCGAGAGATCACGCCGTTCGAGAGAGCACGCCGATATCGAGGTGGGTGGGAAGCGTTGCAACGGGGGTCGATGGTTGCAGGCCCGTAAGGATTAGCGCCCTAACCGCGCAACTTTTGCGGCGAAGCTGGAGTGATCTAGGTAGGTAGGACCTTACAATTTCCCTCGCGGTATCCTTCCCACAAGTCGGGCTAATCCGGGGTTTGCCTTTAATTTGTTGGCTAGTGGCCTTTGAGGAAGGGCTGCAACAAAGTGAGCATGTAAAAGACAAAAAAAGCAATTCAATTTTCAAATTTTCATTCAAGGAGTTTTGGATTTTCTTTTGTTGAATATAGGCACGCATGGGTGAATCCGAATGTCAGTGCCATGCCGCTCAAATTTTACGGTAGGGTTCATTGCGTTTCTTCCGTGATTACGACCGGCGCCAGACATCGTTGTACTTTTAGTATTTTGATGAAGACAAAACGTCATGATTTCCAACAGAGCGCACTTTCAATGATGTGTTCCGGTCCCACATACACTTTTCACCTACAGTATCCTTGCGCGGACCGTTTTGGACAGACTGTGATGACCTTCAACGTCTCGAGTATTCAGATGACCTTCTGAAGCCATCTGACTGGTTGGCGGGCGTCAGCATCTGGCGCATCTTCTTGTATAATTCGTGGCTCTCCAGTGATGGATCGGCGCCGGCCTTTGATCAGACGACAAGTGATGCCGTCAGGATGATCGATAACTCTGTACAATGCACTCTATATAATTAGTACTGTACACTGTCACATTCTCAGATTACGATATCACTTGCACGACAGGGAGACAAATATATTTATTTCATGGCAGGAGATCAAAAAATTCGGAGGTAGCATAGGCGTTTGCAGGATATACGGTAGGCCTAAAATAACACATACGGTCTTGGCAGCAATCACTACCCACGAGAAAATGTACGGAATTACCCAGAATACGGTAGTCAGCTAGGTCGTCCTCAATCGTACGAAAACCTTTTATGAATTTTTTGAAAGTGGATCTTCGCTTCGTTCGGTCAAGATGTCTGCGCGATCTGTAACACCAACCATGAGTATGGCTGAACATCCATCAAGGAGTTGACGCTATTTGATATGTGCAGCTTCAATGCGTTTCAAGATGCCCCGGGTAGAAGGAAAGGAAATTTTTTATCCCACGGTCATTCATGGAATGGAATGCGCCACGTACGCTATTTCCACCCTGTAAATTTACTTCAAGAACTCGGTCCTGCATCCAGCCAGTGACGGTCTGTCTCAAACACCCCAGTCGAGGCACCTCATGGTATTTCGGTATTTCTTCTCCCGCAAAAATTTTGTCACAGCTAACCAAGGGTAGGTCACTTCAACTGACGCAAGCTCATAGATGGGACTTCTCTGTTGCTCAACAGCCCAAGATTTTCATGAATAAAAGAGCCAAACAATCATTTGGATGAAAGGGGAACATAGAAAAAGGTGTCGGGAGGAGTAGATTCAAAGAAGATCGTCGTATAACTTCGTATAATATTATTGAAAACTGACCTTAGTATTTGCCACCCCCCCCCCCTCCCCGCCTCTCACCGCAGCCGCACTAATTTTACTCACTTCGTTCATTTTGCATCCCAATACACCTGATCAGGTGAATGTTTAAGAGAAATGAACGAGGGGGGAAAGATGGGAGGGTGGGGGAGGGAATGGTGAATGTGAAACTCACATTTCAACATTGTGAATGGTAGGTGGAGTCGCTGTAGCAGCGAACGATGCTGAATTTGAAAATAGGCTCCTCAAGCTCTGGTGAGCTGACTTGTGATACCAGAGTCATCTATAAACAAACCTTACTATTACCTTCATCGTCTATATAAGCCCAAAGTGCTAGTAGGATTAGAAAATTTTTTCGCACCTGAGTATACAGGTTCTCTGGAATTCTCTAATTACCATAATCGAATTATTCGAACTGTCTATCTCCCTAGGTAGGTAAGACGTCGCAACTGAAGGATTGCTCGCGAGAATTTTTCTTTCCTATTTTTTTCTATTTCTATTTTAAGCTCTTATTTTTCCTATTTTTTCTTCTTTATTTTTATTTTTTTTATATAATTTGCAAGGGTAACTGCGGCCAAAAACAGCAATTAACTGACAAAAACAAGTCAAAATTCATTGCTGAAGCTTTCCAGCCGATATCGGCTAACCGGCTCAACACGTTACACAAGTGATTGCTGACAAGCTATGATAAATACCCTCCCCTTCAAAAACGCGAGGAAAGCGTCGGGTGCAGACCACGCACCACAAGTGACGACGGCTTCACAAAATGTTAATGTTTTCTGCCAATGAAATGATTAGCCTGTTGCAGTTGTATTCTCGATTGTCACTAATTACAACTATCATTTACCAGAAATCAGCTATCACTATGAACAACTTCTAACCAGATTTACTTGGAGGCCGTCGTCAGTTGTGGTGTTTGGTCTGCACCCGACACTTTCTCGCTTTTTGAAGGGGAGGTTACACAATAAAGCATGAAGTTTGATTGATGTGAGTGCCCCAGTAGCGCTCCGGTTTTTGTACCCGCACTTTCCTTAAGAGGGGAGGTGCGTTCGAGTTCCGTCGCGAGGCGAAAGCATTATTCAAAACCCAGCATTCTTGTGATACATTCTTATTGGAGCGTCTGGAAACTACCATACATGGTAATTGGTTAGGAGACCTACCCGATGGAACGATAGTTGGCACTTCATGGCAGTACTGAGGTGCCAGAAACGGACGCTCTTTGCCTTCTTGGAACTCTTATCGAGGTACGTTTGGTTGGATTTGTTTTGGCAATATTGTTGTGTCGCGTAAGAAGTTGCCGTTTCGCTCGATTTCATTCTTCACCTTATCGTTATATCGGAGGGGCCCTTGCCATTGAGACGAGCCTTAACTATTCTGGAACAATCTCCAACCTCAACTACTTATTCGGACTCCCTCCGTATAAACTGACGCGAAGAGCTTTTTCCACCTACTTCGAACAACACGATCGCTCCGCTCAAGTACAGTTGATACACAAATCCGTAGTCGTTTATGTTTATGGAATGTAGAGGAAGAGTAGAAGTAAGGTGATGGTGCCCTGGTGGTGCAACCGATGCCACTTCGGTCCGGAAAGCTAGGGGGTTAGATTCCGCTGCGGCGAAAGCTTAACCCATAATTCAGTTTTCTAAGTGAAAGAATTTTACCATTCGCCCGAAACCGAAATTTAATGTAAAAGTTGAATCCAGCTCACATTCTTCGACTTTCCTTTCACGGCTGCTTCGCAAAGGATCCGCCGACTGAGTTTGGCCAAGTCAACAGCCCCACTGAACATATACCACCAGATGGAGCCTCCTATAACAAAGCGTATTATGAGAATACATGCAGAGTGAATTTTTCCTTTCGTCCTTCTCCCCCCAAAATTTCCTCTGTTTTTTTTTTGCTCCTTCAAATAACAGTGCTCTTACTGAAAGGTGTCCAAAGGTTGACGACGGCTTGAGTAGTATTCCTTTCAAGGTCTTCTTGAATTTCGCGGATCTGAAATATGTTGGGTACGATTTTCTAGATGAGCTTGAAGAAATCTTCCGCGGAAAAAGCTCCGCCTCCATTAACCAGAACACAAGAACAAGATTATAAGTTCAGGAACATAGGATGGTTACAGTAATCCATCACACTGTTGTTGGGTGCACACATTGCGCCTTATACCACGTCGAGTACTCACTCAAACGCGTTGGGAAACCGCCATGAGCATGATTATGATGGGATTGAAGAAATTTCCGAAAAGCAGAGTGCATTGGTGTCACGAGCGTATTATGGTGCGAAACGCATCGTTTGATTTTTCATTGAATATTTAACGGTTTTTAGTTACTTGAAAAAAGCAAACTTAGCACACTGATAACACCCTGTTGTGCGTGTATATCGGCATATTTTCCCAATTCCGTCATGATTCTTCAACGGCTCGGTTACCGCTAATTGATATACTGTTTATCGAATTCGATAATACATGTACATATGGGAAGATTTAGATCCGGAAATATGCCCAAGAAACTGAGCAGAATCCGTGTGAAGCGCATGCGTGTCGTATGAATACAAATGAAAAACCTGTTAAGGATCTTGGAGCAACTCAAAAATTCTTTACGGTCGCTTCATCGTGAGATTTCTAGTAGTGTTTTCACAGACATGACTCTTACTAGAGGACTTACGAAGCGCGTCGACGATGAGTTTCCTCTTTGAATTGTCGTCGAATAATAACATTTTTCAAATCTCACTACATTTACCCAATTCATGAATAGAAGGCGTCCCCAATTCCTTTCTTTGTTGCCGAAATTCTAAAAAAAAAACCAAAACCCTCTTAAATATTTTTTTTGAGAATTGTGATCCAAATAGCCTTCATGAAGCTTCAGTAGCAGGGCGTAGACCTTGGAAGAAGAGGGGATTTTAGGTGGGTTCGTCACTTTCCTAGGCTTAGTCTTCGTCAGAAAACTTCTTTACTCCCTTCGTCATGCACGTGGCGTTTCCCGACGCGTTTGAGTGAGTACTCGACGTGGTATAAGGCGCAATGTGTGCACCCAACAACAATGTGATGGATTACTGTAACCATCCTATGTTCCTGAACTTATAATCTTGTTAAACAAAGATACCTTTTCAGCCCCTAGCCTCATGAGCATAGCAAAAAGAACGGAACATAAGCGTTAGTTTCGATAATACTAATCCTACACACAAGACAAAATGATCACTCTTTCCGTGGAAGATTCCTTTAAGGTATCGTTTTCTGTGGTAATGAGGGCGGAGCTTTTTCCGTGGAAGATTCCTTTAAGATGATTTTTTTGAAGCAGCTTTGCTATCCCAAAATTACACACCAACAACAAATGCTTCTATTTGACCGGCCCTTAAGAGGTCAATATTTTGGAAGGTTTGGCTAAGATGTGATGCTGGCTCCGTCTTTGGACCCGCAGAGCCCGTGTGAATTATTGAAATAAGGAGGCAGACCCTTGAACTTTATGACTATCATGTTATTCTAAGTTAGAATAAAACAATTCCAGATATAGTATCGAATCGCGGGGTAGAAAGGGTTGATAATGAAGTTGTAGGGCGAAGTTGACTGACAATAAAGGAAAAAAGCAAAAAAAACAACGCCGGTGAAGGCTTCAAACAGGAACCCCCTCCCCCTTAAAAATGAAGGAAGAGGCGTGTCGGACGAGTTGTCCAAACTTACGCTCGGAACAATCGCGCAATTACTGGCAAATAGTCATCCTTTCTTCCAGTACTATTCAAGGTGAGAGGCCTGCTCGGACTTTCGCTTTGAAGGCATGCCCCAGGATTAAAGTGGTTTGATTGCACACGAATGCGAATGCATTTCAACAATGTATTGATTCGAAATGGGGCGGCAGTAAAGAAAAGATGGAAAGAATTGTGTCGAAAATACTCAGGTTAAGGGCTTATTCACCTTGCAACCAGATTGTGCTAAGACCATAAGAGAGTAAGCGCGAAGAGCGCAACAGACGGAGGAGTATGAGGCGAGAGACGCGCACGCTGATTTAGGGCGGCGCCAAGAGCAACGACCCTTGTACCGCAAAAAAATTGCGTCGCAGCAGTACTTGCATGCCCTAAGCGCTCCATTTGGTTGATTTTCGTGCAGGAATGTCAGATCTGTGCTTGCCCTCTGGGGCTCTATCCTACAGACCGAGGGAATCGTACAAACGATTCCTGCCTGAGTTGTATCTCTCTAGAAGATAAACTGAAATACTAACCTCTTCCCATCTTTTCCTCTTATCCAAGGAGTATTCTACAGAGGTATCGAAATGCGGACGAGGATAACCAGTTGGCTGAAATCGATTTATTCAACTTCGTGTAAAGCATGCTTAGATCACAAATTTGTAATTTGAACATCATTTATTGGTATATTTTTATTCGAGCGAAGGACGAAGCACTCATCGCTCACCTCTGGAAACCGTCCAAAATTCCTTTTTACTCCTAATCGCAAGGTATGGAACTGCAGGGCTGGCCAACACTCACAATACGTACTTAGACTCTTAAATAGGTCGCGCACAAATTGTAACCCAGAAGGTTTGGATTTCTTCGGGTGGGCTAAGCTGCTTGACCCATGCCTCAGACAGCGCGAGTGATAAGCGCACCTTTGCCTTTGTCACCTACTTGTTACTATAATTTTGCTAATGGTTGCATCTGCTTCTTCCAAACTCACGTCGGGCTATTCCAGTGAAGCTTCCCGCATGGGAAAGAGGGTCTCCCCACTACTCTTGCCTGCTTTGTCCAGAAGCCTCACAACAACTCTACTAAAGACTGCCGTTTCGCGATTCCTTCTGTAGTTGTCATGAAAATGAATAAACAAATTAATAACTAAATAAATAAGTCCACATATAATTGAAATATGATTTTTACTTACATAATGCCAGCGGCTCATGTCACGCTTCACGTGAGTCGCTTGTGGTTCATTTTTGCGCCTCGGTGGTTTTCGAGATCTGGCTTTATCGACAATGTCTTCGACCCTATAAAAGACTGGCATATCAAAAAAAAGTCGCTCGGAATCCTTACAGAGGAGTTTGATGTGTTTCCATTATC